GGGTTGACCTCAACAAGATCCAGGGCAACAAGGCACCCAGTCTCAGCCACAGCCTCGCAGATATAATGGCCCTCACGGAAGGTCAGGCCGCCTCTAACAGGGGTGCCGGTGGCGGGCGCAACGGAGGGGTCGAGAGCATCGACATCGAAGCTCATGTGGACAGGCAGCGTGCGGTCCTTGTTGACGTGATCCAGGGCCATCTCGACGACCTTGCCAATTCCATAGCGGTCAACATCATGCATGCTAAACGCCTTGATGTTGTGCTTGCGCAGAATGGCCTTTTCGCCAGCATCGACGTCGCGCAGACCAATGTAGACGAGGCGGTCCTTGCGAATGCATGGCTTGATCCACTCGAAGGGCTCGGAAGACTCGCAGAGTCCGAGGACGAACGAGAGGGGGCATCCGTGGAGGTTTCCGGAGTCGGTGGAGTCGGGGGTGTTGATGTCGGCGTGGGCATCGACCCAGATCACGCACAAATCGTCGCCATACACGGATGAGCTGCCCACCAGGGTGCCCATGGCAATAGAGTGGTCGCCACCCAGAGTAACTGCCATGTTCCCCTTCTCGCACTGCTCCTTCACCTGGTCCGCCACGCGGCGGGCGGCAAGGGAGACGTAGCGCGGGTTCTTCATCTTGCCGATGGGAGGGTCACTGGCGGGCTTCATGGCCTGGTACTTGTTCATGCCGTCGCTGAGGTCGACTTTGTAGCCCATGTCCTGGATCTGGTCGAGGATGCCAAAGCGCATCATCTCAACAGGTCCGTCGTCCACACCACCCTTGGGCTGGCCGCCGCTGAAGGGAACACATGTGATGCCGACGGTACCGGCGTTCTTCAGGAACTTGGAGCGCTCGCTCATGAGGCGTGCATCGGTGGTAGAGTAGTCCATTAGAAGGATAGGTTTTGTGGATGAAGAGTGGAGGGAAGAAGAGGGCTGCTTGGCTGTAGCGAGGTGTCCTTGTTGACCTAATATGCAAAGAGCACCGGTGGAGTGCGGTGGGAGGGAGGGGGTGATCGTGCGGAGCACATGCACCATAGGACGGACTAGTGTTAGCAAACCACGAGATGCCGTTGGGGGTGCGCAGAGCAAAGGGGGCCCAGGAACAGAAATGCCCAATTCTACTGGCGGAAGCAAGCACTGTACTTACCAGGCAATAAAAGCAAACAAGAAGAGCAGTGGGTAGAAGGGGTTTACTGGTGTAGATGCGGTTGCGGCAGAATCCTTTTTTTTTTCTGATGACGGCTGAAGGAGGGAGCGGGCAGACCGCCCCCTTTTATACTCTTCAAGGGCGCTGGCCACGCAGGGCATGGAAAAGAACAGCAGCAAACATGCACAACCCACACTCGGGCCTATGCTGTTGCGCGCTTTGCCCGCCTGCTTTCCGCGCCTCTTTTCTGCTTTGCGTGTGGGAACTTCCCTGATGCTTCGAATAGTGGGCAGCATGACCCGCAGCCAATAACCAGGCAGCCTGCATATGGGAAATGCCGGAGCACGGCCAATGACAGTCCAGTGATCGCCGCTGATACTTGCCCTCCTTCGTGCGAAGAGGGGGCTGCCCGAGCCTGTGGCATCACAGCTGGAGCTGGCAGGCGCATCGATTAGCAGCACGGCCCGGCTCACAGCAGCAGCTTGGGAAAGGCGCCTGCACACCGCCTAGCTCGCAGCCACAGCACCGCTTGCCCCTGCTGCAGCATTATTGCCACGCATTGCTGCTATGACGTGCCAATTATACATTTTATGTATTGCATATAAAGTGCAGCTGTTGGTGGGTGGCGGCGGATGGAACAGCAACAAAAAGATGGCGCATGATCCGGGCACGCACAGGCTGCGCTCTTTACCACCAACACCGCAACCCCGAGTAAAAGCGTGCTCCTATGACCCAAAGAAAGTGTCAGACGGACTACGTCACAGGGTACGCGATAGACAAGCGAAAGAAGAAGACAGGCGAAAGTAGGCTAAGGGGCGATAGACAAGCCATATAAAAAGCTGGCCAATGCGCTGGTTCTTTCACCCCAGTCACATTGCTTCAGGCAGCACGGGACGCATTATACTGAGCCATATCCTGCTTATACTTTTCCGCCTCAGCAGCAGCCTGCTGCACGTACGGTGCCTTCTCAGCGTCCGACAGCGACTTCCACTGGCTCGCCGTGATCTTCGACTGGCTAAGCAGCTCGTCGCGCGAAATCGAGCCGAGAGCCGCCAGCTTCTCCTTATAAAATGCCAGATATGCCGAACCGGGACGCTTAGGCGCAAATGGATCCTTCAGAAGCTGGTACTTTGTGCCCTTGGCTCCGCCAGCGACATTTTTGTTGTGGCGGCGGCGGCGCTTGTTCTCCAACTCCACAAGACTCCGGTCAGCTGTGGCCCACCACTGGCGCAGCGTCTCCTCGTGATTGGCGCGCAGTCCCTCGTACTTGGACTGGTACCTCTACATTATCCAGGATCAACGATAGGAAGAAGGGCGAGCAATGAGTGAAGTGCACTCTTGCATCAACAACATCAAGCACCCATACACGCTGGACTTTAGGATATATATTTGATGCGCTACCTGCTTGTCGGATTCGCCCAGAGCCTTCCAGTTCTGCGATGCAACACGGGTGATCTCGGCAATTGACCCGGCTCCCTGCTGCTTGCTCATAACAGCCTCGGATGTCTCGCTAACAAACAGCGCAAATGGGCTAGCTGGGCCCTTTGGTAGCTTGAGAAGAGCTACAAAACGGAATGCACATGCACAGCCATTCAGTCTCGCGCTCACGCCATACGCTTTTTTCTCATCAACACGTCATATGACATGTCTCTTCCCCATGGCGCCAGACCCCTGCTCCCTGCTATGATGCTGCTCACCTTTCTTCGAGTTCAACTGCTCTACAACGTTATGTGAAAGAAAACACCGCGCGATAAAAAAAGTGTATTTAGCGAACACACAAGCAGAATTCAAGCACAGAAATGCGTGGTGTTTGCAATTAGCTTACTCTCCAAGATAGCTGCCTTGCTTGGAGCCTTGGGTGCCTTCTTCACGGCCTTCTTCGCAGCAGCAGGGGCAGCCTTCTTCGTGGGCTTTTTGGCTGTGCTTTTCTTCGAGGTAGGCGTTGCCGCGGGCTCGTGGGAAGCCGCCGAAACGCTGAACGCACGCGCTGAACGGGAGGCGTTTTTTGAAAGAGAACTCATAATTCGAAGCATTGTATATTACGAAGGAGCAGCAGATAAATTGAGGAAACGAGCAGCGTGTGTAGTGTAAGAAAAGAGCAAATGTCAAACCAGGGTAAGCAGAGGAGGGAAGACGCGTTTTCACCTGCAGTAGCACCAGAAACATAGGGCTTATTTTTCGCGAATAGCCGCTTTTACCAACTCAGCTGCCAGAGCTGCCGCTATTGGCCAGTCAATGGCACAATGCAGTACCACAACTGCACTGACCTCTGCTCAGAGATGTTGCGTGAGCGATTTCCGGAACAGAGAGGGGGCGAGTAGCTTACAAACCCTCTTACACAAAGAATTTGAGCTGTTTATATCGCTATAGCAATGGCAAAGGACACGGTTGTCGGTGGAAAAGTAACAAAGAACAAGGCCGCGCCCGCGGCGAAGAAACCCGCCACAAAGGCTGCGAGCGAGATCGACGATATTTTTTCTGCAAAGCCATCCAAAAACGAAATCGACGACATTTTTACAACCAAACCAGCTCCAGCAAAGCAGGCAGCAACCAAGAAACAGGAAAAGGAACAGCAGGCAAAACCGACAAAATCCATCAAGGTCATTGACGCCACAGCTGCAGACCGCATTACCAAACAGCAGAGACAGCCGCCGCCGCCCAAAGACGACGATTTTGCTGATTCGCGTGGCAAAAACTCCAAGTACACGGATGACGGCCTACGAGTCTTTTACATGGAGGACCTCCACATTGGTGAGGGCGAGGGTGACACTGACCAGTGTCCATTTGACTGCGACTGCTGTTTCTAGGCGCCCCAGCAACCTGAACAAAAAAATCGAATAAATAGATGCGCTGTCCAACTATTGAAGTGAGCCGCTGAGCTGGCTCTCCCCTTTTGGAGTCCGCCAAGGCGCAGAAGTTCTCCTGGCATAAAAGCAGGGAGGCCGCCGCAGTAGAGTAGTGGTTTCCTTGTTAGCAATACATCTATTTACAAGTACACCCCTACAGTCTACACGGCCACCCTGCCTCACTATCTAACACAACCACCAAAAAGCGAGACAAAAGACAATCGTCGCTACGCTGGCCACAAAAGCATGCATGCAAAAAGAGAATCGCAGTGGGGCTTCCGTGGATCGAACACGGTACCTTATGAACTTCAGTCACACGCTCTCCCAGATGAGCTAAAGCCCCTGAAGGATCCTGATTCTATCAGATCTTGCTGATCCCGGGAAAATCTACAGCTTCACAATCATGTAATATTGATCCAGCTATTTATTGGTGTTCAGAGCGGTGCAGTGCAATGCTGCAATTCGCCTATCGGAAAACGGATGTGGCATGCTCACTCGCTAAGAGGAGGATAGAAGTGCTTTGCTCTGACATGGTCGGTGAGTTCCTTGACAGTGTCGAAGCTAGCGGTGCACATCGTACAGCGAAAGACGTGAAACAAGCGAAAGATGCTGAGAACCACGGTCATGGCCGTCGATGGAGTTGATCGACTATGTCAACACGAGTGCAGTGCAAGGGGGTGCAGTGGAAAGTAGGGATGGGGGTGTGGGTGTTCTGTCGAGCAGAAGAGCACCAAGCGCAAATTTATACGGGCAAATCGCTCTATGGCATGCTAGATATTTAGCACGCGATAACTTAGTCTCAGACCAACAGCAGCCTTTCATGATCGCCAGCATTGCACATTGTGACATTTGACAAGACTATATTTATACGTCACGGAAAGGCTAAAGCGGCTAGCTTACAAAAAAAGAGGAAACTTGTCTACTCGTGCAGAAAATCACGGCGCCACTCAAAAAATGACGCTCGCCCACAGTAGAAAAATGAAATGACACCCAAAAAAATATTTGAATTGTCGCAACCCAGGTTCGAACTGGGGACCTCCTGTGTGTGAGACAGATGTGATAACCGACTACACCATTGCGACAGCTCATTGAGCCAACTCACACTTCTGTTTTGCGATGCGCAAGAGATAGTAGGCAATAATAAACAAACCAGCTCTGTGAATACCACTCAACAATGCTGCCGTAACATCTCGCTGCTGCGTTTAAACATCTGTACACCTCTTTATTTACAGTGAACTATCTTAAGAAGCGCTGTCTTGGTCAATGTGAGAGTCGCGCAGGCGCTTGGACAGCCTATGGATCAGCGTGCTGGATGATGTGGCGTCAGCTGCGCCTGGTGGCGAGGAGCCATGTCTCCTGGTGCTGTGGTCATCGACACTGCTGTCCATCGACGAATGCGTAGCCGAAATGTCTTCCTCAAGCGCTTGCCGTGAATGCGGTGGTGGGTGACTCGGGAGTGAGGTTTGTGACTCCTGTATGTCATCGTTGGGTGGGTGTTTCAGGTACTGGTACCGGGTGGGCGGAGGAAGCGGTAAGGATGGCGACGAAGGAAGCTGCGGCTGGTGCTGTTGTATTTCGGGCTGGGGTGTGTTGGTGGTTTGACTGAGTGCAGCCTCGGTCAATATGGAGAGCGAGGATATCGAGGGGCGGGGTTGTGCATGGTCGAAGGACTCGATCGGTGGCAAACGGATCGGTTCGGGTGCATGCGTGAGCCGCGGCAGACTGTGGTATCGGCTGCTGGATTGTGTTTGGTGGTCGTATCGAATAGCAATGGGTGGTGGGGCTGCGGTAATGGGTGCTGTGGAAGTAGCAGTTGTTGCCGGGAGAGATGTGCTGAGATGCTGTTCTAATTGCTGCAGTTGGTGTCGCTGGAGAATCGACATGTCGGAATCCGCCGATTGGTCTGAATCATCATCGCCGTAATCATCCGTATCGGCATGGAGAATCGGTATAGCGCCGGGTCCGAGTATCCGTGGCGGGCGCTGTCTACCTTGCGCCAGTGATCTTGATAGCCGACCGCTCCTGGCACTGGTGCTCTCGCCGCGGCCAATGCTACTTGTGCTGGCTGGTGTGGAAGCATCTGACGGCTGTTCTTGGAGCTTTGGTGAATCCACGATATCCTCCGATTTATCCACCGTTTTCTTCCGTTTTTTGTACGGCCCCCTCTTGATCCCACGCTTCCGGGGCTTCCTCTTGGAGTCTACACAGGAGTCTTGGAGATTGTACTTGATGCAGCGGTGACACGGTCTGCTCTCATCGCACTTCTTGCACGCTCGCTGGCAATTGACGCAGGCATTCTTCACCTGCAATCGCTTAGGTCTGTTGCCGCTGAGCGGTGTTTCGGATGATGACTGTCCGTCATCGCCCCCTCCTCCTTGGAGTAGCTGTAGTTGGTCGGTGGACGATATGGTGACTCCGGGAGCATCCGTATGTGTCGCCATATATGTAGACCTATTTATAATATACAGTGTGATGAGGGTGATCGTGTCTGTCTCCTCAACCCTCTTGTGTTTCTATTTTTGTCGCTAATAATGGAAAAAGAGGCTGTTACTTGGGTGTGCGCGAAAAAACAAGTGAGGGGCAGTAGCCTGTAGCTGCTTTTGTCAAAGTCATAGAAAGAGGGGGTGGCTAACCCTTTTGCTTGTTTCCACGTCGTCTGTAATAGTATTAGTAGTGGATCAAAGTCGCCCGTGTCCTTACGCCGCTGAGTAAGTAATGAAAATATTTCAAGGAGAGTGAGAAAGGAAGGTGATGGGCGGTCGTGGGAGGCAAATATTAACCACCCGTGATATTTCAGATAGAGAAAAAGCAACGAGCAGGGGATTGGATAGGAAGGATAACTTGTCAAAAAGGGCGCGTGCTAATGGGGAGAGCAAAAGGTTAACCTTGTCTATCGGGGTAACCTCTGAGAGCCTGCAGCTAAAATCGAAATACCATCAATGGAAGTAAGGGAGTAGATTGCTAATATAATAGGAATAAAATAGAGCAAAGATCGCGTGTATTAGAAAAGGAACGAAAAAGAGAAAAACGCGGGGTCCAGAGCACAAGAGGGCGAAGGAAAGGAGTGCATGCCGTCCTTCTGCGCCGCGCTTACCTCCTCCATATGCTTCGTGACCAGACAAGCCATAGCTGTTTGGGATGGCAGAGGACCAGGCTCTGGGTATGGCAGGTTCTGGAGCAGAGTTTCGCCACTCTGCCATTTCGCGCACCAGCAGTGTACGGTTTTCTTTCTTAAATGCCACGGAAAGCACTCTTTCACGAGCGGCTTACCCAATTTTTTTTTTGTTCGACGGTCAAAATTTCTTCTCTTATCCCATCGTCATTGTATTGATTCTCGTATAGGTGATTCTTTACCCCCTACTGATATAGGAATAATGGATGCCCTTTCATGCTCGCACAGAGGTGATGTGCCGTACTCCGCCAAATCGATCGGCAGTGCTGGAGCAGAATACTTGATGAGTCTCGAACCACAGGCAAGAATTCGAGTGTTTCTCGCTGTGGTCAAACAAGCCGGCTCCCAAGCTCGGCTCGGGCCATGCAGAATTGGCTTTTCACCGAGCCGACGAAAAATATTTTTCTCAACGAGGCACCAGTATCAGCAGCAGAAGCCAAAGGCGCTTGCCTTGCACTGCTTCACTTTAAATTCACACTATTCTCGCATTTCAAAGCAGCAGCGATAGCGCACACAACACAGGATGGCTGAAACCGTGCAGTACCATCTCGAGCAGATGGTAGGGGAGCTCGAGGACTTGGAGCGCAAAAAGCTATTCACAAAACAAGAGCTCAAGGCCGTGGTAAAGAAGCGGACCAACTTTGAGTACGCCCTCAAGAGACGCAAGGCCTCAAGGGCCGATTTCCTGCGGTACATTTCGTACGAGATCAACGTCGATGCCCTGCGCAGAAAGCGCAAGCAGAGGCTGGGGATTAGAGGCAAGACGACGCTGAGCGACTTTTCGATCGAGCAGAGGATTTTGTCGATCTTTGAGAGAGCCCTGGTTAGGCATTCGGCGGACTTGGCTCTGTGGCTCCAGTATATCGAGTTTGTCAAGGATAGGGTCAAGCAGGCGGATGGAGAGGGAAATACAAGGCTGCTGAGCAAGCTGTACGCCAGGGCAATTCAGAAGCACCCGTTTGAGCCCAGGCTATGGATCATGGCGGCGGCGTTCGAGCTTGAGGTCAATGCGAATGGAAGCGCCGCTAGATTGTTGTTGCAGAGGGCGCTGAGAGTCAACCCGAAGGAAAAGAGGCTGTGGATCGAGTACTTTAGACTCGAGCTGCTCCTCGTTGAGAAAATCAAGGCCCGTAGACGCGTGCTTGGAATCGACAGCGCTACTGGCGTCTCGGATGGAAACGAGATGCAAGAGGAGGAGGATGTCAGTGTCATTCATCTGCCAACGCTCGATGAAGAAGAGCAAGCCGATGCCGAGGGCCCCATGTCGGTTAGGGAAAAGTTTGAGGAGAAGGCAATGGCCAAGTACGCAAAGCCCACTGACGCCGAGCAGCTATCAGCCAATCAGCGGTCGGCGATGGCTGCCGAGGCCAATCCGTTCTTGCAGGGTGCCGTAGCCAAAGTTGTCTTTGAGCAGGCTATCCAGGCCATCCCCCATGATCTGGATTTCCGCGAGCAGTTTGCTGCCATCTTCATGCAGTTCCCCGATATGGAGACCGGCAGACAGCGCGTGCTCGAGTCGATTGCGAGTGATTTCTCCCTCAATGTTGATGCCCGCGCTTACTTGTGTGTGGCCCATCTGGCAGCAGCTAACGTCACGTCGCCAGGGTTTGTGGATGCACTCAAGTTGGCGGTCAGCAAATTCAAGGAGGCTCTGCGTGATGTTGATACAAAGGAGATGTGGGCCAAGTATGTCGATTTCTTGGTCCAGTGGAGAGACGCATCGTCCTCAGAGGAAGCGATGCAGAGCCTGCGTGCTTACTTTGCTGCACTGGTTAAGCGCGCGTTTGTGGCTATCCTCGAAAACAAGGCGCTTAGACTCGGCCCCGAGCTTGCGCTGCGGTATGCCGATCTGCTTGAAGAAGAGAAGAGAGAGGGTGGCAACGGCGATGTTCCGCTAGACTTGCTTAACTGGCTGGCCGATGCCACGCAGAAATTCCCGCAGTCCGAAGATCTCTGGCACCGTCGTCTTTCAGCGCTGGTGGAGCTCCACTCGAAGAATGCTGCGATCGGAGGAGTGGCCAGCACACTGCGTGTTGAGAGGCTGTTTGAGAACGAGGCGGTCGCGCATGCGCTGGGATCGCGCAAGCTTTGGGACATGTGGTTCGATTGGATCGAACGTAGGTGCAGGAGCGGCGAAATGGCCGCTGACCGCGTGCAGGCAAAGTACCTGGCCGCTTTTGTACGCACTGCGCAGCTGCCTGCTGCCCACGAGCCACTGAAATCGTGGCTGCAGGTGAGGTTTGTCGATTGGGCTTGGAGGCTGCCTGCCCACGTACAACTGCGCGCTGCAGCGGATATCAGCGCCAGTCAGCTTGAGTGCGGCGATGAGGAGAGCGACGAGGATATTATGCCTGCTTCACTAGAAGGTGAGGTCAAGCAGCCGGCCAACATCGAAGCTGCTCGTCGCGCGTACCAAAACGTTTCCAGACATGCGTTCCCCACACTCGGGTTCTACGAGCGGTGCCTGGAGATCGAGTCGGATGTCAAGCACACGATTACCCTCCATGAGTTTGCGTGTCGCTTGGACGAGACTAACCAGGACCCGTGGCTCAAGTACTTGAAGTTCCTTGTAAAGTGCAAGAAGCTGGACGCGGCGGCAAGCGTCTTTTGGCGCGCATCAAAGGGTCTGCGCAGCGATGCTGAGCGGACGGTGTTTGATACAGCTTACCAAACCTTGCTCCAGCAAAAATAAGCAATCCCTGTTCGGCTTTTACGGTTTACGGTTTACGGTTTACGGTTTACATCTTACATCTTATCAATATATATAAAATAGGGTTACTACAAATCTTGCTAGGCACCCTAGAGATACAGGGTTGATTCGGTGATGTCTTCGACTCTTTCGATCGACTTGTTTGTAGATGACGATGGATTGGAAGCAGAGAAAGAGCTTGACGGTGTGGCAGCGGCAAT